GAGAAGTGTGTGTTTCATTTCATTTTCGATCGAGAGAGGGTGTATGTAGTTGCTAGACTGTCTTGGGAAAGAGATCAAATTCGTTGAAAAACTTGTCTCCACAGCTGCGTCATATTTCCATCTTGTTGCTTATCCAAGTACCAGGTCGAGACTAAGAAGGCACAACTTTTGACAAAAAAAGAAAAATAGTTTATTTCATATTGTGAGGTCCAAGTGTATGGCTAGATCGCTTTACACCCATGGATAGATTGACTCGAGATTTCTTAGTTGGCTTTCTTTCTTTTTTATTTTTCATGTTCTAAATTTTCTTGTCATTCTGGTCATTGCGAACGTTCAACAACTTTCCAGAAAACACTGACATTTTCAGGGCATGAAAATTTCAAACACATCACAGAAGGCTCATAGGACTCCAAAACATTTTCATTCACTCTTATTCTCTATATCTCATCCACGCTGTCAACCCAAATTTTCACGATTCGAAATGCTCCCGTGGTTCTTCCAGGGCAAACTTTGGCGATTCTCAGCGGATGCAGCGGCTGCCATTTCTCCTTGCTGGCATTGATGGGATCTCCGTACAATTGCATTGCATGCGGCGAAGACCATTCCAGTAACATCCTCCGTGGTAGCGCTTGGCCATACCGGATTGATCGATTGACAAGAGTCGATTGGAGCATCACAACCAGGCCCAGGCACACCTAGCGGTGGGAGTGGAGCATCACCTAGGCAGCGATTGATTGATTGAAAATCGAGGGATTTGGAGAGAGAGGAGGAGAAAGAGAGGTTCAGATATTTTATATCAAGGCCTGGACAATTTATATATTATTGCTGGAACTCATGCAATGCCATCCAGCATTGCACGATACAGAAAACACATTATCAGTGTCTTTATTCCTGTTTCCAGACCTTCGGCACTGCAGAATGATGAAATCAAAGGCAATTACGATGCTGATTCTTAACTTGGGCTTACCCCGTGAAACGAGAGGTTTCAGTTGCGCCAGACCCAACCCCTCGGGCAACGGTGGCAACTATTGTCATACCAATACCACCCCGACTGGCAGCGCTGGGCAGCAGCCTTTGCGATTCCTCCCACGTCCACGCCCATGGCCAGCATCATCACAAACATGGCGAGCGCCAAAAACAACACCAACAAAGCCTTGTTCTCCATGATTTGCTGACAGACTAAGAGAAGAGAGAAGTGGTTTGATCTGTGAGGCAGGAGGGGCTCATATTTATAGCTCGAGGCAGCACACAATGCTTTAATGGATTCTACAGAGTTGTCTTGGGACGGCATCGGTTGGTCCTTATACTGCTGGGATCCACATAATATCTCATGCGCTCTCCAACCCTTCAAATGAGGGTCCTTACATGATTTGTTTACACTCTAGCTCAACAAAATCGCCATTCCTCTTCTACCGTTGCTAAAATTTAACAAGCTCATACTACAAGCTTGGAGATAGAGAAAGCCATGGAATTTAGCTCGAAAGATCCTAGCGTTTGAAGCGACACGAGTTCTTGTAAGACCTTCGGCCTGTGTATGGGCTGGAGTTGTTGACACTCTTCAGTTATGTCGTCTCTTTGTCTCCATGCTCTCTCGGTCATCTGTCCATACTGCTATGACTGAATCTCAGTGATTAGCGGCGTCTATTCATCAGCACCACCAACAGTGGCAGCAGCAGCATGAGCATGCCTATCGTGGCAGCCCATTTCAATTTTGCCCCCAATTACTTTGCCCAAATCCAACAGAAACTCTCCCTATGCCCTGCAATGCATGGCTGAGGCCAAAGCATATGTCCTATGTGGCATGGTGATTATGGTACTAGGCCTGACCCATCGGACGGAAATGCCACTATCACCCAAGTGGAGAGATTGCAGTAAGTGGATTAACGGTTATGCCTGAGCTCTGAGCCCACCCCAAGCTCCTCCACCCTCTTCGCATTGTCACGAGACAGTGTTTTGTAGCTTTTGCGCGTGGGTATTGGGAGAGTGATTGCTGGATGGGGATTTTGTTCTCACAACAGATGCCCAGGGTGGCAGTTGCTGATAGTGCAGCTCTTCACTAGTCTTCAAAAAGCAGAGGGGGAGAACAGAGGACTTGCTGACCTATATTGGCATAGTCTATTAAGGCATGTGCTGCAAGCACATGTTTGCCAGCACGTGATGCTCCACCATTTTTATAAGGCATCTTGATGCCTTTTGTGACACTATTAGAGGCCATGCGCATATCCCACCACCTGCTATGAGAGATGGCCAAATTTCCACAATTATGAGGTAGGCAAATGCTGAGAGCTGCAACTTATGAAGCCCCTTTGCTTTCCTTGGGTGTTGAGAGCTTTTTGCCACTGTCTAGACAACCAGGAAACATCTTTGATTTTGAGGGGAATATGAGAGACTTAGCTCTAAATGCCCTCTTTCTCCTGGCAAATGGTGGTCTACAGCTAGTGGGGGTATGTGACAATGCCTAGTGTGCATCTCTAGCACCAGCTGCCATGTGGTATGTCATGTAACAACACAACATCAATTGGGTCATCCAAACTATTGTAGTCTACTTGACCACTAGAAGCTTGGAGAATGAGAGGCATAGTTTCAGCAATTAGTCACTCTAGGGATTTGATGGGAATTATGCGAGTTTTGTATGGAATGACATTTATGTATCCTCATGAAATGTATCAAACTAAGTTGTATAACTAGCCACTGAATCATTAGAAATGGATTTAGGTGATCTAAGAAGAAAATAAGATCATTGAAGATGCAAATTATATATTGTAAAGAATATTGAGTGCTTTGTGAATTTATGTTGGGAGTTATAGGCAAACTTTGCAGAATATTGATGAGAGATAAATAATAAAGATATTATTCCAATGTCTAGATTGTACACTCCAATTATTCATCTATTTGAGGATGATGGGAGGTGGAAATCTTACTTGTATTATAGAGTAATTGAAGTATTTATTGCCAAAAGTTGGAGATGAAATATAGTCATAAATCACTTACAAAATCATTAGATAATCTATAGAGACAAAAAATACATATGTTAAATATACAATAGTGAAAGTTTTGTAAATGATTTGATGTTTTACTAGTGAATGTGAACTGTTTTTCCAAAATGACACACTTATTGCTTTGCAAAATAGTGGTAGATTTGTTAAAATAAATTGTCAAAACCCTAAAGTTACAGAAAGCATGTTGAAGCATATTGAAAGATTATGAATAAACTCCTTTTATGCATTGACACATACAAAGCCACTAAAATAGATGTTGAGCAACATCAATAGTTTTACATACCTCAAAATAACCTATGAGGGGAGTGTAATGGCATGATTGAATAATATATAATTATTTTCAAAGACATAAAGCTATGTGTAATGATGTAGGAGATCATCCCAAAATTGAATAAAACAAAAATCTCTATATTGTATAAGCAAATCACTAAGTTGAAGATGCCCACAAACTTCATGAACAAATAAATCTATCAATTAATCCTCACAAATTATTGTTTGTAAAGAATAGTTTATTGGTGTAGAAATTTGAGAAAAAAATCTATGTTTTGTCACAGATAACTTATTTTCTTCTCTTTTGCTCTGTCCAGTTGGAGATTTGCACAGAGATTTATGTCAGACCAAGAGAGCATTGAGAGTGGTTGGAGTTTTATCCGACGATGAACAAGATAATTGGACTGGAGGCACCACTGTTAAGTCACACTATCTAATCAAGTTGATTTAGAACTAAGAGGAGTCAAGTAAAAGTTGCTTTTGAAGTTCAAAAACTAAAGTAAGAGCAAGGTAATTGTGTCAGGTCTTTACCATTCATTTGCCTAGATGATGAATAGTGATAACAATAGATTAAGGATTGAGACTAGCATACTTGGCAACAATTGAGGACAAAAGATGAGCATTAATACTCCAAATTTTTATAATCAGTAAAGATTATCATAACATGTGTATCACCCTTCAAGAAGTATTGTCAATCCTTAAAGCATTCAACAATGACTGACAACTCTTTGTTAAAGATGTTATAATTAATTTTAACTATAGAATATTTATGGAAAGCAATTGCAAGTGCAAAAAGGGATAAGATATTAATATTAATATTGGAGCTCAGCTAAGAATATTTTAAAGCCTAAGGTGTTCCAGCCCTAAATCCCTCAAGCCAATTGATACATAAATACATATCCATGATGACAGTAGCTGTAAGAGGTCTTCCGAAAGGATCTTCACTAGGTTGTGAGCAAAGAAAAATGCTCAAAAAGCAGGTCGTGAGGATGTTTGGTTCCATACCAAAACAAGTCTCTGGATGACTGAAAGAGTATGGGAACAAAAAGATTGTAAAGAGAACAAACAATATAAGTATTTCCTAAAGGAATACCATAATGGGTAACTCATCCTTGAGCTTTCCACTTGAATTCTCTCTTTGAGCCTATTATGGAGGTTAACAACCAAGTATTTTATTAGACAAATTTGTTACTTCCAAAAACTTACAGTTTGGTATTGTTCCCTTTCTTTTTCTAGAGAAGAACAAACAAGTTAGCATACCCTTGTACTATGCAATGTTACTATAGTTATTAATTTCCTTATGATGGAAGTTGCTTCTTATATATGATTGTTTTTATATGCTCTTACTTTCTTTCTTTTTGGGTATTTGTATTTCTAAACAGTTCTTTCTCATAAGAGTTTTTCTTCTTAATATGTTTGTTTTATTATTATTTTCAGTTTTGTAAGATCTTGATTATTCTCATTTTATTTCTCATGCATATAGGTTATTAGTAAGCAGTGATTGTTTGTATAAGAGTGATTCTGAGATGTTTAGAGTATTCAAGCTGTGTGACTATGGATAAGTTAGCTTGAACATCACGTATCTAAACTTGCAAGTGGTCTTGCTTTAGTTTCCATGAGAGCTAAATGGATATATAAATAGTATTTTGAATGAAGACCACAAATAACTGCAGAGATGAAAGTTTGCCAGTGGTGTTGAGTTGTCGCTGAGAAATACGAAATACAAACTTGTTAGCTGAAATTGCTTGATACAAGAGTAAAAAGGATCTTGCTTATCGGCAATCCAGAGTGGCCCGTGCCACATTCATAGCCTCCTCCACCCTCTGTATCTCTTTCATATGCTTCTGCCATTTCCTTTACAGATTCCTTGGCGCCAAGCCTCTCCCAAACTAAGAGAAACAAGCTTTTCCCCTCAACCCTAAACCCGCCTTGAAAGTTAGTCAAGGAAATAGTTCCGTGTTTGTTTGCTGGGACATACAGAATAAAGTTTGCAACGTGAAGAAAGTAAAATGACCCAAGGAAAGCTCAGCGTGCCTGGAGTCAAAATCAAGGAAATATCAACGCCTGGACATTTCATGTATATCTCATGCAAGGCGATACAGAAAAGTGTCTTTTATTCTTATTTTCATCCATCAAAGGCAATTACGATGCTGATTCTTAACTGGCTTACCTCCTGAAACCTCCGGTTTCAGTTGCCCCAGCAACGATTGTTGCAACCCCTCTGGCAACGGTGACAAGTATTGTCATACCAATACCACCCCGACTGGCAGCGCTGGGCAGCAGCCTTTGCAATTTCTCCCACGTCCACGCCTATGGCCAGCATCATCACAAACATGGTGAGAGCACCAAAAGCAACACCAAGAACTCTTCTGCCAAAACTTTACAAGAGTTTAACTCAAAGTTCTATAGAACTTCGAGGGTATACTAGACACGAACCTAGGATATACTGTTTGAAAGCAATACATACGCTCCGGAGTTCTTGTCCTCCATTTCGACCACAGACTCTGTAAGACCCTCGGCCCACTTCAAGTCACCCGCAACACTACATGCTGCAAGCAAAGTGGTAAATGCTACATCGTCTCTTCTCACCGGCATGCTCTTGACAATCTCTTGGGCATTCCAGAGCTGCCCAGCACGCCCAAACAGATCGATCACGCAGCAGTAGTGATCAGCAACGGGAGCAATCCCCCAGTCGTCCCTCATGATCAGAAAGTGGTCTATGCTACTTAGCAGCCATCCGGCATGGCTGCAACAATTAAGAACATGAATGAAAGTGATATCATTTGGCGTATGGCCCTCGAGAACCATGGCATGAAACAGTTCAAGGGCTTCTTTTGCATGGCCAGATTTCACGTAGGCCTGCATTATCGAGTTCCAGGTCACCCTGCTCTTCTCCACGGACGAGTCAAACAAGAACTTGGCTTGTGATATATGCCCTCGTTGGGCATATGCCCCCATCATGGTTGTTAATGACAATGGGTTGTGTTCTGGAACGTTCTCAAAGATCCGCCTTGCCTTGTCCATATGCCCAGATTGGGTATATCCCACAATCAGCGTGTTAGCAGCGTTAATTTGCCGCTGGGGCATCTCCTTGTAAATCCTTTCGGCCTCGTCAAAATGCCCCTTTTGAGAATATGTGTGGAGAAAGCCAGTCCACGACAGTGCGTTATGCTTTGGCATTCGCTCAAAGATCTTGATAGCGTCTTTCAGTTTTCCATCTTGGGCGTAACATTCAAGCATGAGATTGCAACAAATTACATCGCGATCGGGTATGGAAGCAAACATCCTTTCAACCTCGGAATAATTCCCTCTTTGGGCATATGCACCCATCATGGAAGTTGACGACCAAAGGTTCCACAGCGGCATTTTCTTAAACATCTCTTCTGCTTCCAAAATCTTGCCATTGTTGGCGTAAGCCACAATCACTGTCGCCCATGACACCAGATCCTTGAAGTTGATCTCCTCAAAGATCCTTCTCGCATCATCAAGATGCCCACTCTGGCCATTTGCTTGGATCATCGCGGTCGAAGCCATGGTGTCCCTCTCCGGAATCCTTCGAAAAATATCTCGCGCTCGATCAAAATCACACAAATCCACGTACGACTGTAGAGCCGTGTTCCACGAAACAATGTCCCATTCGGGCATCCTCTCTAGCATCGCGGTGGCCTCCTCGTCAAGACCCCCCTGGACGTATCCCTGGACGAGTGAATTCCACGCGACCAAGCTCTTCTCGGGCAATCCATCAAAGAGACTCTTCGCGTCTTCCACAAGGCCGTGCTGGGCAAATGCCGCAACCATGGTAGCACTCGCCATGGTGTCCCTCTTGGGCATCCGGTGGAAGGATCTCCACGACTCCTCAAGCCGGCCATAGTGTGCAAAGTAAAGAACCAGCGTCGTCCACGAGATCACGTCCCGGCGGGGGGTCCGATCGAAGAGCTCCTTGGCCTCGGCAAGATGCCCTTGCTGGGCATAAGCGCGTGCCATGCCATTCCAAGTGACAGTATCCTTCTCGGGCATTCGATCAAAGAGATCGCGGGCTTGGACGATTTGGCCGTGCTGAGAGTGAGCAGCGATCATGAGAGTCGAGGAAAACTTGTTTGGATCCGGGATGGAGTCGAAGATGCGGCGGGCATCCGCAACACTGCCGCACTTGCCATACATCTCAACGAGGAGATTGGCGAGGAAGCGGTCGTGCCTGAACTGCGAGGCTTGGATCTGTGCGTGGATGGCGATGGCACGCTGGAGATCTCTGGGGCTGCTGCAAGAGCGCACGAGCTGGGCGTATCCATGTTTGTTACTACACAAGTCAGTCACTTTTGGCATATCACAAATAACTACTACTACAGAAATTAACAATCACTTTTTGCATTTCACAAAGAATTTCATTTACTATATGCTATATGTATAAATTGGCATGTCACAAAGAACCTTGTAACGAACATTTTTCATTTTGCAAAACTCAAGTTTTCACAAGAACTCTTCATGGTTTTCCAGATAAGAACGATAAGAATGACAGTACTATTATTGACACAACCCAAAAGCAAGTAGCAAACAAAACTATCTCGGATGGATGGACTCAAGCTCCAACTTCTCGCGCGACTTCTCTGGCCTTCTCGCTGACATGCGACGCAGTATCGGCGATTTTGTGCTTGACAGCGTCGATCTTGTCAGCTCCCACCGGGTGCCTGCCTTTGACGTAGTTGTAGAGCCATGCAACCGCGGAGCACGCGGTCACGAAGGCCGCGCTGAGCGACACGAATCCTCCGGTGCCGACTGCAACGATCCCAGCCAGCGGCACCAGGATCGGGCTGAAGAGGATGAAGAGCGGCGTCGCGAGAGCCAGCGAGAGGCCAGCACCGGCCAGAGTGATGCCACCGAGAACTAGAACGATGAGCGCAGCCGTGAGGAGGAGGACTATCCCGAGCAGCTGGCGGGAATTCGGCGCGCGCTCCCTCAGCCGGCTCATGATGCGGCGAGCTTGCTGCTTTGCTTGATCCTGATCTGCCATCTCTGGCTCGAAGAACGAACGATGAAATGAATCACTTGCCTGTCCCTAGAAACGAGTGAACTTCTTTTGAGCTTGAAAAACCGAGCTTCTGACCTGACACTTGGCATGACCACGTGGACCTCGCTTCGTTTTTACGAGCGGTTCTTCTTCTTATTTTTAAACTTACCCTGCAAGGCAAAAGAGAAAAACTCGTTTAGCGATAGATAGATGTTTCATTCCTTACCTTAAGTTTCTTTACGCGAAGCTTGCCGCTAGCTTTGGATTTTTTGAGCTTCTTGGAGCGAGATGGTTGATCGCCATCGTCCTCGGTAAAGGCCAAGCCAGCAACATCGTCGGTGAAATCATCCATCAGCCCCTGGAGCCTGTAACTCAAATCCAGAAGCGTTACAGAGAAAAACTCGCGATAGCTCTGGAGCTTACCCGTTTCGAGAACGCTTTAAGCGTGTCAATCTCTTGCGTTCCACCTTGGACAGAGGAACACGAGTAAACATGTCTTCCTCTTGCTTTGCGCGCGCGTCCAGCCTCGCCATCTCTCGCTGGAACTGCTTGCTTTCAGCCCCGAGCGAATGCTGGATCTGTGGCAAGAGAAAAACTTTCAACTCACAGGCAACACCGAGGTTAATGCTTACCTCTTCAGGCCTTCCTTCGAGATCATCCACCATAGATTTGATGTACGAGCTTCGTGAAGCTCGACGCTGCTCTTCCCTTTCGGCTCGCTGCCTCGTCCTTTTGTCCTTGGCACTCTCTTTCTCGTCCATAGCCGTGGGAGCGATCTTCGGTGGCTTGTAAACGCCACCATTTCCCTACAGAGCAAACCGTGATCTTGACAAACACGAGAAAAGAAAACCATGATCTTCGTACCTCCATGTCTTCCTCGATTTTGGAAACGAGCAAGTCTGGATTAGGCCTGTACTTTAGATCGTCTTTCTCAGCGGCCAGGTACTGATCGCTAGCCGGTGCTGTGGCTTGCTTGAGAAGCTTGTCGATTTGATACTGTAGCTTCTTGTCAATGGGACGGATCTGCAAAAACCAGTTTTTATTCTCATATGCTCGAAGCTATTCTTACCTTCTCCAAGAACAAACGAATTTCGGCAAGACGCTGGATGACAGGATGCTCGGAAAGATCGCATTTCCCTTCGGCTCTCAACAGGATCAAAAACACGAGATGCTGGCAGTAGCTCGATAGAAGCAAATGCTTCACTTCTAGGTAGCCGATTCCATCCTTCGTTTGATTCTCCCCTTCTCTCACCTGAAAGGAACTAAGTCATCCAAATGAAAGAACTAGACACTAGAAATCCAATGCCTTGATCGCCATTTCCCGCGATTTCTTCTGCAGCTCCTCCAGGCCCTCTCTCATTTCGGCCTCCGGGCGCGCGACCGCCGCCCCTTTTTCCATGAAAGGGCGCTAGAACCCTAAATCCCCGAGCCTGCGAATATTTTAAGGAATCAAATATAGTAGTAGTTTTAGGGTTAAAGGGACAGGGATGGGGTTTCACGAATGGTAGCTGGATTCGGATGCTGCAAAAGGTGGGCCGCGTAGATCTAGCGCGAAATCTCTGCCTAGAATCGAAGATCCATGTAATTCGGCGCTCGGGAGCACGCTAGATTCCACAAATGGAGACCAGAGTTTCCGAGGTGAGCTGGAACAGCCTCGACAGCCTCGTCTCGGGCGATGATCCGAGTGGATTCGGCTCCTTCTCGGACTTCCTGGCACAGGCGGATCAAGATGCCGCGGCACGCCCTTTAGATCCGGAGGAGAAGAGTGGGAACAGCGGCAAGGAGGAGGGAAATATCGGTTTTCCAGTGGCTCAAGGCAACGATGCTTCGTTTGGCTATCAGGGAGAGGATTTCTCCCCAAAGGTCCAGAGTGGTCAAGATTTTGGTAGCTACCAGGATTCTCTAGAGGCGTCGTTTGGCTCTTTGGCGACAAAGGATGCACCGAGTTACGATCCTTTTGTAGCGAAGGGCAGTCAGGAGGTTTTCAACTACCAGGATCCAGCTCCAACACAGGCTGCCACTACTGAGAGTTTGGGCTTGCAGTCAAGCCAAAATACTCCGGCTGAGAATTCTATCCAAGCTCCAGTTCCTGCCACGACTGAGAGTTTTGGCTACCAGGCAGGCCAAAATACTTTGCCTCAGAGTTCTTTTAGCAGCCATCTGGGTGGGCAAGACTTTTCCAGTTACCAAGAAGAAACACTGCAATCTTTTCCCCACCAGACGCATAGCTACCAGAACGCTTCCGGCTACCAAGGGAGCACGGGCCAGCGTTTTCCACAACAGATGTTCGGCTACCAACAAGGCCAGGATTCTTTTCCAACGCAGCAAACTGGTCAAGAGAGTTTTAGCTACCAGGGCCAGAATTCTTTCCAGTACCAGAATTCCTTTCAACCGCAGATCCCCCTGGAGAATAGAACAAGTCAAGCGCAGATTTCTCACGGTGGTTTTAGCTATCAAACGGGCCAACCGCAGGTCTCTCACGATAGTCTTAGCTATCAAACGGGACAACCGCAGACTGCTCAAGGCTACCAAGTTCCCGAGTACCCCGGATGGACTTACAACTACCAAACTGGGCAATGGGAGCAATCAACTTCCGGCTACTATGGGAGTCAGCAGCAGTTTGGACAAGGTTATGCTAACTACGCTGGAAACAACGGCAGCACACAGGACTATCACTCTTATACTTCTTCTCAGTATCAATTCGGTCAGCCAGCAAACTATGCGGTTACGCCTCCCAGGACACAGGAGGAAGCCTTCAGGTCGACTGCGGGAAGACCACCCTGTACTGTGACTGCGTTTGGTTTTGGTGGAAGGTTAGTGATTATGAAACCAAAGGGAGCCGAACAGGTAATGAAGGAAAGGAACTTTGCAAGTAGTTTGATTGCTAACCCGCGCAAATTTTGTTTCTGCAGTTCTCGACTTCGCAGCCATTTCAGATTTTCCAGATGAATCAGCTGGCAGACTTTGGTCTCGGTTACGGGCACAGCAGTGGCCCGCTTGCTGGCAACGCGTCCATGAAGGACGTGATGAAATGGTTGGACGAGAAGACTATGAAACTGGAAGAGTCTGGTAGCAGTAACCTTGCATCCTTGCGGTATATGTGGGGGGTGCTTAAGATTTGCTGCCAACACTACGGCAACCTTCGGTCGACTGTCAATATTGCAGCAATGGGTAGGCAGGTAGAATTTATTTTTTCTTGAGTGTTTTACTAGGAGGAATAACTTACTGTCTTTAATCCAGGATGATAACGGACCTGAAGTAGCGCTTGCGAAGCTGCTAGAGCCAAGTAAGAGCGAAGAGTCATGGGCTTTTGGCTCTCGCTGTCTACAGACAACTCCAACCGAACAGCAAATGCAGGTTGGGCAGTCTTTTTCTCTTGAGTTGATACAAACAAAGACTTTCTGGCGACAGGCAACTGCATTTGAGGTGAAAAGGCTACTGATTGCCGGAAAGCAGAAAGAGGCTTTACGGGCTGCTCAAGACGGGCAACTTTGGGGATGTGCTCTTCTTATGGCCCGGCAGCTGGGAGAGAAGGTACCTTGTCTTGTAGCTTTGATGTATAGACCGTTAGTGATGGTCTTGTGGTTTTTAATAGTTCTACACCGACACTATAGCGGAGATGGCTCAACGTCAGTTTCAACCAGGGTTTCCCCTCCGGACTCTAACTCTTCTTTATGCTGGTCAACATGCCGGAGTGTTCGTAGGGAACACTAATTTGTCAAACGTAACGGCGCTTCAACCTCAACCGGTTCCAGCGTCCGCTGTAGATGGTGCAACACAGGTGAAATACTTTTATCAAGCTACTCTCTTGCTTAAGGAGTGCATGTTGACTTGCAGGACGCAGTAGAAGGAATGCTCGAAGAATGGCAGGAAAACCTGGCTATAATGGCAGCTAACCGAACTAATGGGGACGAGAGAGTGATTATGCATCTTGGTGATTGTCTCTGGAGACATCGAGATGAGGTATATACATGGTCACACGTTGATGTGTCTCATAGTTTTAACTTGCAGATATGTGGAGCCCATATTTGCTATCTTGTTGCAAATGCTACTTTTGAGCCTTTCTCCCCTTCTGCCAGACTTTGTCTTATAGGTGCCGACCATTGTAAGTATCCACGCACGTACGCTAGTCCAGAAGCTATCCAGGTAAGCCGTGTTTGTCCTCAATAACAATTGTTAACGTTTTCTTCATCAGCGAACGGAAGTGTACGAATTTGCAAGAGTGACTGGCAATTCCCAGTTTATTTTACTTCCTTTTCAGCCATACAAGCTTATTTATGCGTCGATGCTTGCTGAAGCTGGAAAGATAAACGAAGCTTTAAGGTTGGTTGTGATTCTTAACTGTATGCTTCGTTAACACAAGGTTTCTCTTCGAAGGTATTGCCTAGCGGTGTTGAAAACATTGAAAACAGCGGGCCATGCAGCTGATGTGTGCAAAGAAGCGGCTGTAGCCTTGGAAGAGCGTCTTCGTATCCACTCTCAGGTTTGTAAGCGGACACTCGGCGTTTATACTCACTTTCCTGTGATCCAGGGAGGCTCGACGTCAATTGTGCAACGGTTTTTTGGCAATATTGGTCTACACAAGATGATAGGCCCTTCGCCCCCGAAAGCTTCTGATAATGCTGATATTAATAACCGTCCCGCAACAGCTTCTAGCAGAAGCAGTGTATCACTTGCCTCGTCGGCATCAATGGAACCCATAAGTGATATTACGAGAAGATCCAACATGCCAGCGAGAAGCATTTCTGAGCCTGACTTTAGGCCTGCACAGGTAACTCGACTTGCTCTTGTGTACCTTCGATTAAGACTTGTATTCTTTCATCAGATCGTTAGTCCAGCGAAAGGAACGCCAAACAGAGGCGTCTTTACTTCTTTCGTGCAAAGAGCGATGGGCTTCATAAAAACACCTTCGAAGGAGGTTTGTAGAAGCTTTGGAAAGAGCGCTAGCTGATTGATGGTCGGTATGTGATGCAGGCAAAGCTTGGCGACAGCAACAAGTTTAGATACGACGAGACACTGAAGCGCTGGGTTGAAGAAGGAGCCGAGGCACAAGCGCCAGAGCTTCCGTTGGCTCCTCCTCCCACGGCAAACAGGCTCGTCTCCCGCGTGGAGGAGAACGGCGCTCCTATTTCCATGTCGCCGGAGAGACCACAGCCAACTCCGGAAAGGCCGCAACCGGTTGTGAGTGGAATCCCACCAATGCCTCCAAGCAGTAACCAGTACGCAGCTCGCGCACGTCAAAACGTTAGATCAAGGTACCGTTTTGGTCATTCCCATCACTCCAGTCTCACGAAGTTTTTGCAGATATGTCGATACATTCAACAAAGGTAGCGTAACACCATCCAAGACATCATCGGACTCTCCTCCACTGTTTGGCGTGGTGCCAAAGGCAAGCGCAAAGCCTTTGGCTCCAGCGAGATTTTTCGTGCCTGCGGCCGCTGCTGCCGCTGCTCCAGATATCAACAGCAACCATTCGGTGGATCCTTACTCGGCACCGGCCTTTGTCTCCGACACGGCGTTCTCAAACGGGAATGGAGCATTCGCTCAGCCGGTTGTACAGGATATGAGAAACGATCCGGGGCCAACGCCTGATCATCTCTCGAGCAGCTCTTCGCCAGCAATGTTCTATTCGAATCACTATCCAGCAGCACCGTCGACCGTCTCGTTGCCGCCACCTCCAGCTCTGGAAGTCACTCCGCCAGTGATGGTCGAGCAGCAGCAGCAAAACCAACACCAGGAAAGTTCGATTCATCGGCACCACCATCAACAGTCCGGCACAGTGGGATTCGAAGCTGCCAGTTCCTCCGGAGTGTTTGGAGACGACTTGCAAGAGGTGGAATTGTAAATCACACTCCACAAGTAAGTAGTGTTGCTGGGTGGATTTTGGTAGAGCAGTGTAGCGAAGTAGTAGTCGTGGAAGGAGGAATTTTTTTTTGGCTGGGGTGATTCTTTGGAGCCACGAGCGAAGCGAGGAAGCTCCTTAAAGTTGCTAGAGAAAGGAAACTCTTTACAGTGTAACAAAAAGGCCTTGTGATACCTCGAATAATCTCCCGGATTTAAAATATGGCGCGTGTAGCTCACAAGGCATCGTCTTGGTGGGATGAAACGCTGGTTGTCTACGCGCGGTGTGGGCTTTGGAGGAATCGACAAGGATCTTTGATGCTTTGCCGGCCAAGAACATCGCGTCGTGGACGGCGCTCGTGACCGCGTATGCCGAGAGTGGGCATCCGGGGGAGTTCGATCGAATGGCGGTGTGGGACGTAGTTTCCTCCACTGCGATGGTCAAGGCGCTGGGCGATTGCGGGCGGATTGGATCGAGCAAGGCAGTGTTTGATGCGATGCCCGAGAGGAACTGCAAGACGTGGGCGACGCTGCTGCGGGGATTTGCTCGCGGCGGAGAGATTGGGCGAGCGAGAGAAGTGCTGGATATGATGCCCGAGACGAATATGGTAGCGTGGACGATCCTCGTGCAGGGTTTCGCGCAGCGCGGGCGAGTGGGCGATGCGAAGGCCGCGTTTGATTCCATGCCCGAGAAGAACAGCATCACTCGCGCGGTGATTCTCGTCATGTTTGCGGAGAATGGATTCGTGGAGGAGGCGGAGGATGTCTTCCAGGAAATTGTCCACCGAAACGCGATCCTCTAGGGGGCGATGCACTGCTGCTATGCCCAAAATGGGGATTTGATTCAAGCCAAGAGTTTGTTTGATAGGATGCCTGAGCACAGCGTACTGTCGTGGACGATTATGATCAAGTCATACGCGCGAAACGGTGATGCTGATCAAGGAAAACACTTGTTTGAAGAAATGCCACACAGAGATCTTGTTTCATGGAACGCGATAATTGCTGTTTATGCCCAGAGAGGTCGTTTCCGGGCGTTTTCTTTGGTTTGCTGCTGGGATTCCTATTCATGGAACACAATTCTAGTGGTATATGCTCTAGATGGAAATATTTGTGATGCTAAGAAAGCGTTCGATGAGATGCCAACTTGGAACTTGGTCTCCTGGAACACGATTCTTGCAGCATATGCCCAGACCGGGCAGCGACCCAGCTCTTCTGGGCGATGTTTCTTCACGGCTTTGGCCCCGACAAGGCAGCATTTGCCATTGTTTTGATGGCATGTAGTTATCTGGGGCTCGTCAAGGAAGCAGTAAGCTACTTCACGGCAATGAGCTTTGACAATGGATTGGATCCTTCGCAAGACCGCTACGCCTGCATTGTTGATGCTCTCGGACGACTAGGGCGATTGAAAGAGGCCGAGGATGTCCTGGAGAATATGCCTTTGCCAGCAGATGGAGTTGCATGGGCAACGTTTCTTACCGCGTGCAAAAACCACGGGGAGATGAATCGAGGGATGCATGCTGCGGAATTTACGCCAGTCCAGCCTTGTGAGTGATGCATTGCCTTATGTGATGCTGGAGAACATCTTCAGAGCAGTTCAGACTTGATTCTTCACTGTTTTGATGTGTTGACCCAAACATCGATCGTTGATATCCAGCCATTCCGTGAGCCACCCCATCCCCCATGGATGGAGAGCGGGACGCACAGAGATTGGGCATAGGAGAGTCTTCAGAAATCTATCTGGAGTGTTAAGTGCAGTGGGTTTGCTATAGACAGCAACGCAAGATCCAATGCTGCTGTTGTGAATTTGAGCAGCAGCACTGCGCTCCTCCTGCTCCACATCAGTGCCATGCTAGGCGTGGCAATCCAGATTCTCAAGACCATGCCGGTGAGAGTCTATCATGAGCTCCTGTTGAAAGTGGGAAGTAGTGGTGTGAAATGCTTGCGTTTGAGGCGCAGGTGGAGATGGGCTCATTGATACCTCGTTCCCATTGCCTTCCTTGTATCCTATCTCCCCCGTTGCCTCCCGACATGCTTCATATGTTATCCTCTCTGAGTTCCATATGTTATCCTCTCCGCTGGGCCTCAGCCCATTCTTGATATTTACGAAGGCTCCATTGGATGTTGATACAGAGAATTAAATTTAAAGACAATTGGCCCACTTGTATGATGGGCTTAATCTATGTTGAATGGATTGCTCTTTGCAAAGCATGTATGCAAGGCGATTTTACAAGGAAATTTATCAAATCTTCCGCAAAGTCAATGCCATACCTGTCAAGAACCAAATCGTTGGAGAGCTTTAGGAATTAGTATAGGGATATATAGGGATGCATAATGAAGGATAGTTAAGTAATTTGATGATGAGAAGTTTGACATGGCACAAGCAGAGTGTGCCTCTCAAGGCATCCAAATCTATGTTCTAGCTCCCATTTGGAAATAAGAAAGATTACAAGTGCCATTCCTATCCCTTCGAAAACAGTCTTTCTATTCTGCAGGGTGGAGTTTTACATATAATGTTGTTGTCACAAATAATTATAAAGCAAGTATAAGGGAATATTGCTTCTTCAATGGCAACTAGCACTTTGTAAAATGTTTTTGGAATATAAGTATATGAAACTTTTCAAAACTATCATGTTGGAATCATCTAACATTTCTAGCATAGCCAATCTTTTCTTGATTGATTCTTCTTGATTAATTTGCAGCTGTTCTATAAGCCCAAAGAGCATCATAAACTCTATTATCCCAATCTTTAAGATTGGTTTGTACTATTTTCTTCAGTATATTCTTGAGTGTTTTGTTTGTGGATTCGGCTTGGCTGTTGCCTTGTGGATAATATGGTGTAAATTTCTTATGTTTAATGAAGAATTCATCTAGTAAAATCTTGATTGTTTCATTGAGGAAATGTGTTCCTCTATCCATTACTATTTCTCGAGGTAATCCATATCTTGTGATAATCATTTCATAAAGAAACTTTGCTGTATTCTTTGTTGTCGCTTTCTTGAGTGGTTGGGCTTCTACTCATTTTGTCATATAATCTGTTGCTACCAAAATATATTGATTTCCATTTCTGCTCTTTTGTATGGGTCCTACAAAATCTAGGTCCCATCTTTGGAAAGGTTCCATTGCTATAGTTGGATTCAGTTCTTGTGTTTGTTTCTTGGGTGGAAATTGTGTACGCTGACAAATATCACAAGTTTGACAAAACTATGAAGTGTCTTTCAATAATGTAGGCCACCATATGCCTGCTTGCAATATTTTCCTTGCTGTAATTTCTTTTGCAAAATGCCCTCCAGAGCAACTGGCATAGGCTTCTTCTAATAACTCGTGTTTCTCTCCTTGTGAACGTACACATCTTCTTAACATATTATCATGTCAAATTCTATAGAGTCTTCCTCTGACAACTGAGTATCGTCGTGTCCTCAAGATGAATTATTTCCTTTGATCTTGCGTGGTACATGATGTGGGAACTTTTGTAGTAGTTAAATAATAAAAGATTTTTTGAAGTGTATTGTGGGTGGTAATCTTAAAAAGATGTGAATCAGGTAAGTCATCGTTGGGGTCTTGTATATTTTCCCCGGTTGTAATTCTGCTGAGATGATCAACTTATTCATGGTATTTGCCAGGTTTGTGAACTATTTCGAAATTGAATTCCTATAATAACAAAAACCATCTTGCTATTCATCCGCTAAAGATGGGTTTATTGAGTAGATGAATCAATGCTTGATGATCAATGAATAATTTTACTTTGTTGGAAAGTAAATAGTGTATAAACTTGGTTAAGGCATATATCATACCTAAAGCTTCTTTTTCTGTAGTTGTATAATTCATTTTAGATGGAGAAAGTTGTCGACTTGCATAATATAATGGGTGATCACAATGATCATCTTTTCTTTGGCAAAGAATTGCTCCTAGAGCATAGCCAGAGGCATCAACTTGTACAAGAAATTCTTGAGTCCAAATTGGTTAGACAAGAATTGGTGCCTGTGTAAGTTTATCTTTGAGTATCAAGAATGCTTGCTAACATTCTTGAGTCCAGTGATAAAATTTATCTTTCTTGAGTAAATCAGTTAAGGGTTTAGCGACTTGGAATAGTCTTTGATAAATCTTCTATAGTAACCCATCTTGCCTAGAAAACTTCGCAAACTTTTAAGATCATGAGGTGGTTGCATTTTCATAATGACGTCAATTTTAACTTTATCAATTTGAATGCCATGAGTGGAAATAATGTGAGTATTCCTGATTTAACAAGGAAAGTACATTTTTCAGGATTAAGAGCAACTTGGTTTTGTATACATTTGATAAAACATTTCTTGAGGTATTCAAGGTGTTTGTCTTTAGGTCCAAAAACACTAAAGTCATCCATAAAGACTCGCATGAAATCTGTGAGATAATCTTGGAAAGTATTGGTAATGATCTGTTGAAATGTAAATGGGGCATTGGTTAATCCAAATGGCATTCGCATGTATGCGTATGCTCCCCATGAACTTATGAAAGTTGTTTTATGTTGATCCTCGACAACTATATGTACTTGATTGTAGCCTGAAAAATGAGTACATCTCATGACCGGTGACGGCATCAAGTATTTCATCTGAAAATGGGATGGGAAAAACATCTTTTGTAGTTGGATCATTTAACTTTTTGTAGTTCACACAAATGCGTAATTTCCCATTTTTCTTAGATACAATGACTAAAGGTGATATTCATTAGGCATTTTGTATTGAATATATAAATCCTACTTCAAGGAGTTTGTAAATTTCAGCTTTTACTTTTTCAGTGAACATTATATTCATCCGATAAGTAGTTTGTTTAATGGGTCGAATTCCTGGAAGTAATTCGATTCGATGTGTACATAAATCAGGTGGTATACCTTTGAGGTCTTTATATGACCAAGCAAAGACATCTTTATACTTAGTAAGAAGCACAGTAGCGTCAAGTTTAAAAGGTTTGTCGAGTTGTATAGCTATTAAGACATTTTGTGGATTTGAGGGAACCCCTAGATTTAATTCTTCAATATCTTCATTGATATTACGCAAAGTTTGAATTCTTGATTTTCAATGGTGAGAGCTAGTTCATTTTGTATATCTAGGTGATATTTTATAATTTGTAGTTGTTCTGGTTGTATCACTGGTTTTGTTTTTTGTATGGTGGTTTTTGTTGCTTTAAATTCAGTTGTTTTTGAATCTTCATAGTCTTGACACTTGGTTACAGGAAGTATCCTGTTGAGGTCAATTTCTTGGATTGCTTTAAGTTCAGGATATGCTTCAAATAATTTAGCTTCTTCAAGATCGTCTAAGCCTTCTTGCCAATTGTATTCTTGAACTTGTGTTGGTCGGAAACTTCTTGAGATTTTCTTGCTTGTCAATGTTGATATTTTAGTCTGTCCTTGTTGAGATTGGATACATATCTCATGTTCCATCCAATACTGTGCAAAAACAACTTTGTTAAGCCAAGGTTTGCCTAACAAGATTTTGTAAGAAGATTCTTCAATCAACATTTTTAACACAAGAAAGTTAACTTTAAATTTATGTCCTTTGACTGTCATAGAGCCATCACGCATGATGCCTGCTGGTCTGACAACTCTTTAATCAACCATGCATACAATGAATGGTGCAGTTTGTATATTGCCGAGTCTTAAAACTTTGCATAGTGCATATTTGATGATATTAACCCCAGAACCTCCATCAAGGATAGCTCTTTCAATATGATTTTTGCCGATGTGTACGTTGATACAAGGTACATTATCATCATAATCACCAGGTTGGATTCTTTCAGGTTGTTCTTGTCGTATTGATTGAGATTAGCATTT